CTTTCCAGAGTTCTTCGCCGGGCCTTCCATGCCCTTCGGTCGCCGTGCTCTTTCCATTCAGCTCGTAGAGCTCAGAAGGTCTCGGGTGAGAAAACCCGAGCCGCAGGGTGGCCCTGGGCGTCGTTCCGGCTTCCGTTCTCCAGCGCCGGAGCGGCTTGCTTGAGGCTGCGGCGAGTTCCAGCAGGCCTTCTCGAAGGGTTGCCCAATGCGCGCGCCCGGAAGCTTTCCACAAAGGTCTTTCGGAAGCTCAGCCGCAGGGTGGCCTGGGAGGTCGCTGCGGCTTCGGCAGGACACCTCGGCGGGGCTTGCTTGACCCTTCAGCGTGTTGGGGCGGGTCTTGTCGAGGCGTTTCCCAATGCGCGTGTTCGGAATCCCTCCAGGAGGTCTTTCGGGAGCTCTCTCCAGATGTTTAAATCCTGTCAGGGTTCTTCGACAGGCCTTTCCACGCCCTTCGGGCGCCTTGCTATCTGGTTTTAGACCCCGCAAGTCCCGGATAGTGTATGCCAGTCTCTCCCGGATAGCTCGTAGAGGGCTAGAAGGGTTTCCGATTGACAATTGCTGGAGCCGTAAGGTATTCCCACGGGTTGTTTTGGCTTCCGTAAAAAAGCTTCGTCGCGAGTTGCTTGAATATGCAGCGTTGTTCGAGATGTCATGTATAAGCGTCTCCGAATACGCGTGCCCGGAAGCTCTCCAGAAGGTCGTTCGGGGGCTCTCTCCATGTCCTTCCAGAGTACTTCGTCGCGCCTGTCCCCGCTGTGAGGGCGCCCTGCTATCTGGGTTCTTTTCCGGATAGCTCGTAGAGATCTAAGAAGGTTTCAAATTAAAAAACCGGAGCCGCAGGGTAGCCCAGGAGGTCTCTGCGGCTTCCGGCCACCTCAGGGCTCGCTCGGCCCTGCAGCGTGTTCCGGCAGGCTTTTTCGAAGCGTTTCCTAGTGCGTGTGTTTGGAAGCTCGCCAGAAGGTCCTTCGGAAGCTCTCTCCAGTTTCTTCCAGAGAATTTCGACAGGCCTCTCCACGCCATCCTACAATCCGGGTTTTGGACCCCAACGGTTCTGGATACTGCTACCTTGGTTTCTTTCTGGTTTTTTCCCGGATAGATTGTAGAGAGCTAAGAGGGTTTTCAGATGAAGAAGCCGGAGCCGCAAGGTAGCCCGGGAGGTCGTTTCGTCACGACGTTTGGTGGCCCCATATGGGAGCTCCACCGAAGGCCGCAGTGGCGGTGTGCGCAGGCGTCGCCCCTTCCCACTGCAGCGTTTCGTGGACCCACAGGGAGCTTCATCGAAGGCCCCAGTGGCGGTGTTCGCATGCGCCTCCCCGACCCACTATAGCGTTCCGTGGTTCCATAGGGGGCTCCACCGATGGCTTCACTGGCGGTGTTCGCATGCGCCTCCCCGACCCACCATAGCGTTCCGTGGCCCCACAGGGAGCTCCACCGAAAGCCTCAGTGGCGGTGTTCGCAGGCGTTTCCTCCGCCCAGTGCAGCGTTTCGTGCGTGGCCCCATCGGGAGCTCCGCCGAATGCCTCAGTGGCGGCGTTCGCATGCGGCTCCCCCCCCAGGAACAGGAGGCGTGCAGTGCACGAAGAAGAAGAGGAGGTTGATAATGATTATGAATATGATGATGATGCTGATGATGATGATGATTATGATGATGATGATGATGTTGCTGCTGCTGGCGATGGTGGTGGTGATGATGATGATGATGGTGAGGATGATGATGATGCTGATGAAGGTGATGAGGAGGATGAGGAGGAGGAGGAGGAAGTGGAGGGATCAGGAAAAGGATTTCGAGGAGGAAGGGAGTAGGAATCTGAAGCTGATGATGCTGATGCTGACGATGATGATGAGGAAAAGGAAGTGGATGAGGTGGATGAACATGATGATGACTATGGTGATGATTAAGATGACAATGACGATGCTGATGATGGAGATGAGTAGGAGGATGAGGAGGAGGGTGATCATGATGCTGACGTTGATGATGAGTATGATGATGCTGATGACGATGACGATGACGATGATGATGATGATGATGATGATGATGAAAATGATGATGATGTCAATGATGATGTTGCTGCTGATTATGATTACGCTTATGATCATGATACTGCTGATGGTGATGTTGATGATGTTGATTCTGACGATGATGATGGATGATGATGCTGATTCTGATTATGACGATGCTGATAACGATGATGGTGCTGCTGCGGATGATGACTGATGCTGATGATGATGATGATGCTGATGATACTGATGATGATGCAGCTGCTGATTATGATGATGACGATGATGATGAGGATGAGGATGAGGATGAGGATGATGATTCTGATGCTGCTGCTGATGATGATGATGCTGCAGCTGCTGCTGATGCTGATGATGATGATGTTGTTGGTGATGACAATGCTGATGATAGTGATGCCGATGATGATGCTGATGATGATGAGAATGAGGATGAGGATGATGATAATGATGATGCTGATGCTGATGCTGATGCTGATGCTGATGCTGATGCTGCTGCTGCTGATGATGGTGCTGATGATGTTGCTGATGATGATGCTGATGATGATGAGGGTGCGGATCATGATGATGATGATGCTGCCGATGATGATGAGGATGCTGATGATCATGATGATGATGGTTATGCTGATGCTGATGCTGATGCTGATGGTGATGGCGATGATGATGCTATGATGATGATGCAGCTGATGATGATGATGATGTTGATTATGATGCTGTTGGTGATGATGATGGTGACGATGATGATGATGAGGATGATGATGATGATGATGGTGAGAATGATCATGATGATGATGATGCTGATGCTGCTGATGATGATGCTGATGATGGTTGATTTTGGTGATGATGATGCTGATGATGATGATGTTGCTGCTGATGATGATAGTGAGGATGACAATGATGATGATGATGGTGATGATGCTGATGCTGGTGCTGATGATGATGATGCTTATGCTGATGATGATGATGCTGATGATGATGATGATGATGATGAAGAAGATGATGATGATGATGATGATGATGATGATGATGAGGATGGTGGTGGTGGTTGTGGTGGTGGTGGTGATGATGATGATGTTGCTGATGGAGTATGATGATGATGATGATGATGATGGGATGATGCGGATGATGACATGATGATGATGATGATATATTGAGGATGTGAGTGATGATGATGAGGAATGATGATGAGGATGATGATGCTCTGATGGGGTGGTGGTGGTGGTGGTGATGCTGATGATGATTATGATGGTGATGAGGTGATGATGATGATGATGACGATGATGATGATGATGATGATTGATGATGATGATGTGATGGTAGAAGGGTGATGAGGAGGAGATGGAGAGGAGGAGGAGAGGATGCATGATGATGGTGGTGGTGGTGGTGGTGGTTGTGAGGAGGAGGGCGATGAGGGTTTTGGAGTGGGTTTGAGGAGGAGGAGGAGGAAGAGGAGTGAGGAGGAAGGCGGAGGATGAGGAGGAGAGGAGGATGAAGGAGGAGGATGAGGAGGAGTTGGGAAGGATGAAGATGCACATGACGGAGGAAGTAGGAAGAGGAGGAATGAGGCGGGAGGAGGAGGGTAGGAGGTAGGAGGAGGAGGAGGGGGAGGAGGACGAGGGGGGGGGGGGAGGAGGAATAGAGGAGGAGGGAGAGGAGGAGAGGAAAGGAGGGGAGGAGGAGGAGGCGGAAGGAGAGGAGGAAGACAAGGGATGAGCGGAGAGCGGGAGGAGGAGAGCGGGAGGAGAGGGGGAAGAGGAGGAGGATGATGATGATGAGGAGGAGGTATGGAGGAGGAGGAAGGAGGAGGGATGCTGATGAATGATGGATGATGCTGATGATGAGGATGATGATGATGCTGATGCTGATGATGAGGATGAGGATGATGATGAAGATGATGATGATGGTGCTGATGATGCTGCTGATGATGATGGCGATGATGATGATGATGCTGATGCTGATGCTGCTGATGCTGATGATGCTGATGATGCTGATGAGGAGGAGGAGGAATATGAGAAGGAGGAGGAGGAGGTGCAGGAGGTGGAGGAGGGGGAGGAGAAGGAGAAGGACGAGGAGGCGTTGCAGGAGGTGGATGAGGAGGGAAGGGGGATGGAAGAGGAGGAGGAGGAGGACGAGGAGGAAGACGAGGAGGAGGAGGGGGTTGATGATGATGATGATGACGATGATGATGATGACGATGATGGTGGTGGTAATGATGATGATGTCTCTGATTATGCTGATGCGTCTGCTGATGATGATGATGATGCTGCTGCTGAATCCCCATTCCCATTCCCATTCCCATTCACATTACCGTTACCATTACCATTACCTTTACCTTTATCTTTACCTTTACCATTACCATTACCATTACTATTGCCATTACAATTGCCAGTGCCATTACCATTGCCATTACAATTTCCATTCTCATTGCCATTGCCGTTGCCATTGCCATGGAATTGCCATTGCCCGTCGCCACCCTGTTACCATTACCCTTACCATTACCATTACCATTCCCATTACCATTACCATTCGCCACATCCATTACTTACCATTGCCATTGCCATTAGCATTACCAACACAATTGCCATTACCATTATCATTACCGCTGCCATCACCATTGCAATTCCCATTCCCATCACCATTGCCATTAGAATTAACGTTACCAGTGCCATTTCCATTACCATTGCCATTATCATTACCACTACCACTACCATTTCCATTACCAAGCTCCCCCTTGGCTCAAGCTCCAAGCTCCCCCTTGGCTCAAGGCTCAAGGCTCCCTTGGCTCAAGCTCCCCCTTGGCTCAAGCTCCCCCTTGGCTCAGGGCTCCAGTGGCTCGAGGCATCCCTTACTTAAGGCATCCCTTACTTAAGGCATCCCTTACTTGACTTCTTCCCTTTCACTGTACTATACCCTCCGGAATCGCCGGGGATTGCTCCGACTGGGGTTTCAGTCTGGGATCGCGCTGATTCAGGGAGCGGGTGCGCGCGATGGGGACTGGAGAGAAGAAAAAGGGATCTCCGAAGAAGGAGATACTTTCAAGGGACGTGAGGGCTCGGGTGACCGAGCCCCAGAAAGTGGATCTCGACACGGCGGCCGTGGGGAGTGCTTCAGGCAGTTCGTCCTCGGCTGCGTTGGGATTATCCGTGCCTGTGGACTTGAACGCGGCCCCTACGCTCGGCCAGATCCAGAACATGATGGAACAAATGATGGTGCACATGGCGACGATGACGAACAGCGTCAAAACTGAGGTTACCAAACACTTCGAGGATCAGATCGGGGACATAAAAGAGCAGCTCACGACGAACCAGGAAGAGATTCGCAGGGTGGCGTCTCTTGCCAGCGGTGCGCAAGAGGGCGTGGTCGCTACGAGATTCGAGATAGCGAAGCTCAGGGAGGAGAAGGTCAGCAGGGAGGACGTTTCGAACACGATTTCAAAAGCAATGAATCAAAAAGGACCTGCAAAGACAGCAGAGCGCACGGGAGCACAGCCTCTGAAGTGGGTCGACCGGGACAACAACCCGATGCCCATTGAAAAAGGTTGAGAAGCTCGAACGGACGGCAATCTTCAAGGGTTTCCCGAAGGACACCAAGGAAAGCAATATTCTCGAACTCATCAACGCGAACTTGGGGGAACATGCACACGAGGTCGACGGCAATGCATGCACGACAAAAATGGGGAGAGAGAGGTGCAGTCCGATCTTAAACGAAGGACGCGATGCATAATTTCATCAAGGCAGCCAGGAACACCGACAACATTCACTACAAGGGCGCACCAATCACCATAGGACCCGATCGCGGACCTGTCTTGGGGGCCAGGGTCCGCCACTTGGCCATGCTCAAAAGCATCCTTGTGAAGAAATGCGTTGAAGAAGAATCCATCGATTTCGATGTCCGCATGGGGGTGTTGATGGTGAAAGACACGCGGATCGGCGAATTGAAGGGCGAGGGCGTGCTCATCCGCGTTGAGATTAACTGTCAGAACGTGGACAGCATGAGCTGGCCGTTCACAGGCAAAGACTTGCAGCTGGAGCTAGATCGCGCCTTGCGCGAGTGACTAATCCTGTTGCCTAGATTTTCTTCGGGTGTTGCCTCTCCCCCTCCTCCTCCCTCGTTTCCCCCCCCCCTCCGCTCTTCCTCTCTGTTCCCTTTTGCGGGGGATTTTGCTGGATGTTCTTGGAACTCCCAAGCGTTTTTTCAAGCAAGTTGAGTTAGCAACATCGCAGGCATAAATTTGTGGAGCAATTGACCCAGAAAGTTGATTTTGTAGGTTTGCAGGAAGTCCACGGCACTTCAGGCCGGGAGCTCGCGTTCAGCGAATTCCATGGTAACCGTGCGTTCTGGTCTCATTTAAGCCGGTCTCAGGCGGGGATCGCCATGTTTGTATCTAGGAAGTTCCTTTCCCAATTCGATTCGCACCAGTTTCACACTGTGGAAACAGGCAGGTCTGCAGTGCTACGCCTCCGTGGTCGCTGCGGCAGTTTGGACATATGGAATGTATATCCTAATGCGCACTCCTCAGCAGTCCGCGCCAACAGTTTAAAACTTATTGCGGCGAGTTTCTCTGGCCCTCGCAGCGCCACTTCTGTGATCTCTGGTGATTTTAATTTCGCGGAGAATAAGCACGACCGCTGGCAAAAACAATCCGGACAATGGTCCGGGCACACTAACGGTGCCGAGGCCGTTGCATTCCATGCCCATTTGCGTAGTAAGTTCTCTTTGGAGGGATGGGTGCAAGAGCGTTTCACTTGTGATGGTGGCACTGCTCAGTCTCGCATTGATCGCATTTATTGTAACCCGCATAAGTGCGAGGTACTAGACCGACACATTGAATGTTCAGTACTGTCTTCTCCAATTCGTTTGTCTGCTCACAAGCCTTTGTTTTTTTGCCAGGAGACGTGTCGAATGGCAATCTGGCAGAGGTGGTGTCGGACCACTCTCGGCCGCGTATGTGGAGCATCCAGATTTTGCCAAGCACGTCCAGCAGGAATATGAAAGGGAAACTCGTCTCACCCCTCACGCCCCTCCGATTGACAAGCTCGGCATCATGAAATTAGCGATGCGTCGGGCTGTCAACGGACTACGGCGATCCACCGTCATTCATGAGGCCACCAGCGCCGAAGACAAACTTCAGGCTTCCATGTGTCTTCTCAGGTCTCTTGAGCGTGGGGTCACGGACCGTGCTGCTCACTTTTTCCGTCTCTATCCTCCTTTGCGTGCCCTTGTTGGCCCCCCCCCTCTGCCCACGCCCTGCGCGACCGCTGTGTGGAGCTGGCGCGGCAGGAAGTGTTGGAGAAGGTGGATGCCCTCAGAGACCAACGGAAAAGTTTGTCAGATTTCGAGCTGACTTCCCGCAAGGAGCACATTCTTCGGAAAATTGAGCGGCTTCTCCCGGGCGAGTGTCCTGCTCTCTCGGTTCTTGCGTCGCCAGATTGTCAGGATTTTGCGACTGAGGCTAGTGAGATTGCAGCTTCTTTGAAACAGCATTGGGGTAATGTATTTTCCCATCGAGCTGTAGATTTAAACCGCATGTGCGGATGGAATGTCCCAAGCCTCGTGTCTTTCGCTAGGGGGGGACTGCCAAGCGAGAGTTCGACGTGGGAATTGCGGCCGTCGCACGTGGTACAAGCCATCCGCGCTTCCAACGACTCCCCCCCTGGTCCTGATGGGATCCCGTGCCGGGCGTGGAAGAAAGTCGAAGCTCTAGCCGCCCCGATTTTATTTGTTGCCGCAGTCTCGCTGCAGGAGCGTGCTACGATTGACATGTTGCCACCAAGTTTTAACAGCAACTATTTGTGTTGCCCCCAAAAAAACCTGCTGGTACGCACCCGGGTATCGGGGAGTTCTTCACGGCAAGCAAAACGAGGCCTTTGTCATTATTCAACGCAGACAACAGGTTGATCGCTAGTTCGTAAAGAAATTTGTTGGAGCCGTTGGCCGACAAAGTCGTGTCTCCGATGCAGCGGGGTTTTCTTCAGGGGCGCTCTATAGTGCGGAACGCGTGCGAAATTGAGCACGCCAGTATGTTGGCCAGCCTCGTGGAGAGGAACGCTGCGCTCATATTGTTTGACTTTGAGGCTGCGTTCCCTAGTGTATCACAGGACTTTATTTTAGCTGCCCTTGAGGCCATAGGCGTCCCTCCTTTCATATGCAATGTTGTTCGATGCCTCTACAAGGACAGCGTGTGAACTACTAAGTTGAAAGGGCAAGTGTTCGAAGGATTTCCCATGCGCAGCGGCGTTCGTCAAGGATGCCCTCTCTCACCCCTTCTTTTTGTACTTGCGACTGACATGCTGCTACGCCGAATCAGCCAACAAACGCCTCAAAGCACGGTGAGAGCTTATGCCGATGACGACGCAGTGGTCGTTCGCAACTTCTGGCGCGATGCATCGACTGTTCTGCGCGTGTGCAGGGAGTTCGCTCTGTTCTCTGGTCTTCGCCTGAACATGGCAAAGACCGTCGTCGTTCCTTTGTGGGAAACTTCGACGCGCCAGTTTCGACGCGCAGTGCAGGATGCGCTGCCCGAGTGGGCCGGAGCGGAGTTTGCAATGCACGCCGCGTACTTGGGCTTCAAAGTAGGTCCTGCGAGGTCGAGGCCGAATGGGCTGGAGCAGTGGCAAAGTATTCAAAGAGAGCTCGTCTGTGGTCAGAGCTTGGGCTCGGTCTGCAAATGAACGCCCGCGTCTACAATGCGTTCGTAGCCCCCGTGCTCTGTTACCTGTGGCAGTTATGCGATATCCCACGGGAAGTGACAGCGGCTGAAGCCGCGGCGCTGTCGGCTTTCACGGCCGGGCCAGGCGGGTGGCGCACGGCAGCAGACCTTTATTCTTTTAAAGTCGTTGATCTCATTCCCAGTTGAATTCCGTTGTCTCTCGGATTGCGCGTGGGCTGCCAAGCTCGTCGTGGCTGGCACAGTCTTGCGTGACAACTCTGTCCTAGCCGAGCAATTGGCATTTGCCCGTGGGGACGCGCAGTTCCAGGCGCGCGCGGACACGTGGTCAGCCTGGTATTCTTCCCATTTTCCTACGGTGGTCCGCCAGGCGGTTTGCCGCGCGACGTCAGCTGGCCCCCAAGTGTCCAGCGATCAGCGGGATTTATACGAAACGATCCGAGTGCAGCAGCCTGGGTTGAAGAAGGTGGAGCCTCGCTTCCGCCACAAGCTCGCCAGATGGTCCCTCCCCGCTCCAATCGGCCGCCTCGCCCGCCGTGCGCCGAACATGTTCGAGAGGCTGAGCCGTTTGGCATCGCCACGTGTTGTGGCCGCAGTGTGGAGGACGCAGTGGAATGGTTGGTGCACGGCGCGCCGATTTCAAAATGTAGGGCGGTGCTGTTTGGGATGCTCTTGCTCTGCGCGAGATTGCGTAGAGCATTGCGCTCTGTGCCCAGCGGTGGCGAGATTGAAATGCAGATTTCTCGGCCTTCGGGATGTGAGCTTGGAGAGCGTCCTGTGCCTCGGCAGCGCTGGAGACAATGAACTCAGCCTGGCAGCTCTTGCCGCGTACGCCGTGTTCAGAGCAACCAATCATTTCCGTGGCAAGCCAGCGCCCGACTCCCAGAAGTGCGCCGACGCATTGGAGCACTGGTGCAAAATTGGCGCGAAAGGCCGCGCCACTTTGACCCGAACCTTCGACAGGAGGTGGCTGCGCCATGGTGCGCCTCGCTGATGCATTGTCGTAGGGCTCGCTTCCCCCGTGTCTCCCTTTTCGCCCTCCCGTCATCCTTGCTGCCGGCGCTCTCTTTTTGTTTTGTCTCCGTTCCAAGTGTTACTCTCGTTGCCATTTCATGTCGACACGGGAGCCGCCTCCAAGAGGTATTCCGTGACCTGCGCACCCTGCCGTTGCAGCGCCGTCGTTGTATACTAGTTGTTTTCTTTGCATCGAAAAAAACTACCACTTCCATTACCATTGCCATTATCATTACCACTACCACTACCATTTCCATTCCCGTTCCCGTTCCAAGTACCACTGCGATTCCCATTCCCATTCCCATTACCATTACCATTACCATTACCATGACCATGACCATTACCATTGCCATGGCCATTGCTATTGCCATTGCCATTGCCGTTGCCATTCCCATTGCCATTGCCATTGCCAGTCCCATTACCATTACCATTGCCATCGCCGTTGCCATTGCCATTGCCAGTCGCCACCCCGTTACCATTGCCATAACCATTACCATTACCGTTATCGTCACCATTACCATTCCCAGTACCATTATCATTACCACTGTCATTGCCATTACCATTACCATTGCCATTGCCATTGCCATTCGCCACTACCATTACCATTGCCATTCGCCACTACCATTACCATTACCATTGCCATTGCCATTGCCCTTCGCCACTACCATTACCATTGCCAGTACCATTACCATTCCGATTCACATTCCCATTCCCAATACC